GTCGCTGTTGATGGGCACTACTGGAATCCCCTAAGTTATATACAATATACTGTACTAAACTGACGCTGTTGATCGGCACTACTGGAATCCCCTAAGTTGTATACCATGTAATGTCCTAAACTGACGCTTTCGAACTCACATCCATACAACATTAATAAAGCACAAATATTCATATGAATATACGAGTTAACGTGGGTGGGAATGAACGTAAGCTGTTGTTTTCTGTGTTGAGTTTAATGCTATTTCTTAGCAAAAGATAATCTATACACGACGGTCTGTATAAATGGTGGAGAAAGAACCCCGGGAAAACCCAGGTAAGAACCACTGACACACGTGAATCTACTGGCAAGCTTTTACATATCCACATTAGCTGAACCTGAAGCTTGAGACTCGAACCCATGTTAGATGTCAGTGATTGGTAAAGTGCTTTAGACCATTTAGCCTCCCGGGGCCTTAAATAACTTAGCCACTCATTTGACCAGCCGAGACCTCAAAAAATAAGTAACATGCAAATAAATTTCTAATTTTATAACGCTATTAACAGAACTAATGATAAATAGAAATGGATACACTGGTAACTGACAATTCATCATTTAAAGAGCATATGGCTGACAAATCATCAATTAAAGTGAATAAGCGTGCAATTGTACTTTAAATACAAAAGATTACAAACAATTGAGCCTATTGCAATCGTATCTATAAAATTAATCATGCTGAAAAACTGCCTCGCAACTAGTTCGTTGACTTGTAGTCATACAGACAGGGTATTTAAAAAGAAAGAATGTATCAAAGATTTTAATTTAAATGGTACTTATCTCATAAATGGCACTGTATCTAGCTACCTTTACATTTTCAGATATTTTACCTGTTGCTCTTGGTTGCATCGCCGTTGTCTGTATGATTGTCGTCATATACATGGCGGCAAGATATAAAAGAAAAAGAAGAATGGAAGTAGATGTCTTCCTATTTTCCATTGTTCATGACGGGGTTCCCAATATGAAATTTGTTCCTTTAAAAGATATCACCCGAGGAAATGCAGACCAATGAAGAAGAATAATTTGTCTTATTAAAAAACCAACGTCGATAATTTCAGACGATTATGTATCGATGTATGTATCTATATCTCGATAAAGAATACTAATAGATAATGTACAGGTCATATGCTTCGTCTTGTAAACTCTTTTTATATCCCGCCCCCTTCACAGCGTGACCAATTACATTCACAATAATTCCCGCCTTTCTGGCACTAAACACTGAGTTAGTTCTGTTAACAAACGGCTAAGACTATGCTTTCTCCTGCTATCAATTCCACGCAGAACCAAACTTGAACCCAGTTCGGTACGTTTAAACAAATTAAGCCCTTAATTAAAAACTAATAACTTCTGGTCCTGCCCGAACTAATAAGTACTTTATGGCGTGTACATGTGGCCATTTCCCCGCAAATCTCGTTAATGGTACATGTATCGACTAAGTGTGTTCTACCATAATTAATTCAAACAAAGATCGACCTAAACGTATGGTCCTTTACACCTCACTAGAGAGTAACTATACTGGGACTTAATGTAGAAAGCAACACTAAGACCAAAATGTATGTACGTTTGTCTTAAATCTCCCGAACAACGACAAAGTAAACTTTAAAATGCAGACTGTGAAACAAATTGAAGATTTTTTACAGTACACGGTTCAGTAAATGATTTAGCAAACTTTGCCCCATGCTTAACGATGTCACATGCTAACGGTTTTTGACGAAAATATATCACAGCTAAATGTATTATTTCAATGTATTGTTTTGTTTCAATGAGTGGAACAATTATGTCACTTACGCCATACAAATTACTTTTTTAGGCAAAAGTGCATAACGTTACACATTCATGGAAATGAAATGTGAGTGTTTCGGATTTTAAGATTGTATCTCAGACGCCATCGTCATTGATGACGAAAATGTAAAATACTTAATAATTTCACCAGTGAGATTAACCATGAAGATTTTACTCTTATTGGGAACGCATTCGAGTCTCGAACCATAAATATGCCAAGTTGTCAGAAGTATGGCTATCGGCATACTCATGGTGCAGTGATGCTAATATTATGATGAGAAAACTCTGTCTTGTTGTTTAGATGTTTTCTATCATAACCTTCTTCTCGTGCCTAGTTACGAACAGGAAGAAAGTTCGGCTTTCTTAATAATATAGTTCACACCTATTTAGCATCTTGTGGGAATAAGCTCGGCTGCGAAGTGGTGGGATTGCTCTAAGAAATAGACATGACACCCTCTGAGCTTGAAATCGCACTTTATATATATATATATATATATATATATATATATATATATATATATATATATATATATATATATATATATATATATATATATATATATATAACTACATTCTAAAGATACAACATATAAATTTATTTATGCTGAAACTACATACAATGCATATTACAATAATAGTTATTCCACAACCTACTATTTCATTTGTCTATTCATTTCTCTGCATCTTTGAATACAAGTGATTTAAATATTCAAAGAGCCTAAAATTCAATAACTGTAATAAATGTATTTTATTCTATTTAATGTAAGATAACGATCTGGAAAAGATCAGTGATTGTCATACTTATTATTTAAAGAATATATATATTTACTCGCAATTAAATTATAACGTGAAGCTGATAATTATTTCAAACAAATACTAATGAACATCGTAGCTGTAAAATATTTCATTACATTATGATTGTGGAAGAAGGGCACTTAATAATATTACATTATAAATACAATGAACATCAATTCAGTAAAATATCAAATCAGTAAAATATTTCATAGTAGAAAAGAGAACTCACTATTACATTATATTGATAAAATAAAAATAATTCAGAAGTATATTACAGCTTACTATAAAATCTTTAACTTTTAAGAGCGAGTATAAAGCATAATTTTCTTACCTGTAAGAAATAGACACGACACCTTCTGAGCTTGAAATCCCACTGAGACCAACCAGCCCAGAGCCTGTTTTTATATCTTGGAAGCTGTTGATCATCAGTATACCATGTTTTCATTCAAGGTCAGAGAGGTCTGTGTAATAAACTATGCCTATGTTCTAAAAAGTCACGCGTGTCCTTGCGTGATAGTCAAGGACAGCTTTAACCTTATATCAAGTTTTAGAGAGGGAAGAGAGAGTGTGTATGCATGGTCAGTACTTTTCCTAAGTGACCGACCTTTTGGATCATACATTGTCTATAACCTTCCTAGTTGTAAGTGGTCATTCACATTCTGAACTTCTAACCCAACTAATTTTCTAGACTGATTATCAATTACTTTGTTCCCAGTATCACAACGCAATTAATAAGGTTTTATTGATTGAATTGTTTTCGTTGTCCGTTGCTGAACTATTTTACCAGGTTACTAATTAGGTTTTTTTATCCATTACTAAGTCAAGCTGAGGAAACAAAGATACTGTTTAATCTGAACTCATTTCAACGTTCTATTATGTTCAGGATATGAATTATTGATTGGGCCATGCTTTCTTACAATCCAAATCAATATTATAGTATTCGTTTTTAAATTCGCAGGATTTGTCTTCCAATAACTAGAAATTTCAATATATTCTATACAAGTTAATGTTATCGTTTCTTTCTTTTAAAATTGATATTTTGATACTAATATAAGTATGGAGTTCGAAATTGCATGGAGATATGGAGATCAGCATGCTCATGATGCACTAATGTTAATAGACTATGGTGGTCAGCAAGTTCATAAAGCAATAGTCTTAATATACATATGTAGATTTACATGCTAATGATGTAATAATTATAGGTTACTGTATTTGTATGGTAAAATATGAACGAGTTTTTCGGATGGCTATACTGTACGATTTTGGAGGTGCAGTATATCCATCCGAAAAAAAACAAGTTCATATTTGTCCATTCAAATGCAGTAACCTTTTTATTCTATGCTCATTCTTGTTTCATTACCAAAGATTTAATAATAAAATTCACAACCAATTATATTTACAAACAAAATGTATTGTATTATAAAAATAATAAAGTTCACAATCGAAGATTGCTTCAATGCACAAATAATAGCATTCATACGCATATAGCTCCTCCCACTAACCGTTAAACTTTATAGCTTACCGCGCACTCACGTGCATCAAGCGCGTGGAATACAATATGAAGGTGTAAAATACATTTTTGGCAATTTTTATTGACATCTAAAGAAGAAAGTTTATGTGTAATTGTGATGACCCTGTATATCGTCTATATCTAGCTAAATCTGAAACATTTATATCAAAAAAGTAAAACGGAATGTGCCAAGCAGTTTGTATATGTCAGTCTTTGAAACATTTGCTGGTATGCGGCCGTCCTTGAAATATCTACTTTAGTTCATTCATGAAAAATTGTTTCCGTTAGAAAATAATTCCTTTTCACGTTGGGTACAGTATGAAGGTGTTCAATATCGTGGAATATTGCACGATTCTGGCAATGTAAAGTTAATGATTAAAACAGATGAGCCTATAATAATCAAACAAATAGAAATCATCATTCTCGTGATGCAATAATATTAATAGACATCAGAGATAAGCAATGCTCAAGATACAGTAATATCAACGAAGATACGACGAAATGCATGCTTACGATGTGATAAGGCTGATAGACTATGGATATCTGCATTCACATAATACAGTAATCATGATCAACTATGACTATCAGCATGCCCTTGATGCAGTAATGTTAATGGACTTTGGATAGCAGAATGGTGTGTTTGTGTTATTTAGAATTTTAACGCAGCTTGAACAAATTTACAGTCTTATCGCTACGATGTCTTCAGTGTATCAGTTTATCGTGATGTCTAACACTGAGGTATCAAGCCGCAGACATGTGCCATGATCTTTCACCCAGTCACATTATCCTGACACCAGGCCGACCAGTCCTAACAGTAACCTTTTAATGCAGAGCGCCAAGCGAGGCAACTGTTAGCACCATTTTTAAAGACTTTGCTATGACTCGACCGGAGTTCGAACCCACCACGACCTTCCGCATGTGAGGCGGACGCTCTAACCACTAGACCACTGGAGCCGTCTGGATAGCAGGATGGCATGATGCAGTAATGTTAATTGCCTACAGCGGTCACCATCTTTATGATACAATAATGTTAATTGCCTAAAGCGGTCACCATGATTATGATACAATAATGTTAATTGCCTATAGCGGTCAACATGCTTAAGATACAATAATGTTAATTGCCTATAGCAGTCAACATGCTTAGGACATAATAATGTTAATTGCCTATAGCGGTCAACATGCTTAGAAAACAATAAGGTTAATTGCCTATAGCGGTCAACATGATTAGGACACAATAATGTTAATTGCCTATATCGGTCACCATGCTTATGGTACAATAATGTTAATTGCCTATAGCGGTCACCATGCTTAAGACACAATAAATTTAATTGCCTATAGCGGTCACCATTCTTAGGACACAATGGTAATTGCCTATATCGGTCACCATGCTTAGGACACAATAATGTTAATTGCATATAGCGGTCACCATTCTTAGGACACAATAATGTTAATTGCCTATAGCGGTCAACATGAATAGGACACAATAAGGTTAATTGCCTATAGCGGTCAACATGATTTGGACACAATAATGTTAATTGCCTATAGCGGTCACCATGCTTATGACACAATAATGTTAATTGCCTATAGCGGTCACCATGCTTAGGACACAATAATGTTAATTGCCTATAGCGGTCACCATGCTTATGATACAATAATGTTAATTGCCTATAGCGGTCACTATACTTAGGACACAATAATGTTAATTACCTATAGCGGTCACCATGCTTAAGACGGAATAATGTTAATGGACATATAAAAAGCTGCATGCTTATGATACACTATTTTTAATCGACTATAATGTTCAATGATTCAAATCCTAACAGACAATAGATATATGCATGCTCATGATCCAATCATATTTGTGCTTGATGTATACGTGAATATCGCTAAATTTCTAAACTCGCATTTTGGTTTACTGGCCCATTTAAAACACTGTTTAAAATATACTACTAAGTATACTTTTTGGTAGATAAATTATGTTCATGAAATAAACGAAAAAAAATAATAGAAGCCACAGTTTTTATTACTTGTTTATAGCAATTACCTTACCTGTTCCTGAATCTATGTTCTATTTGAAAGCTTTTAATAACTTAAACTAAACTGTAAATGAATTGAAATACATTATCAAAGATTCCATCATTGATTACTGATAACTGTAAGTATTTTCACACAGGACGATATATAGGCTATTTACTGTGTCATTTTGTCTAACGTTATCAGACTGATACACACATTCATTCATTATATTAATTTTGTACAATCTCATTTTAGTGTTACATAGCTGTCTTCTCTTTTTCTGCTTATATTTGATTTCAGAATCTCAGATATTTCCAAATCATAATAAACATTTAGTAACCTTAAATATATTCTGAACTGAGAACATGATAAGCGATAAGCGAGCGGTAAATGTTCTGTAATTGATGTCTAGTACTTAAATCTTTTTCAAAATATATTTTCTTACAAAGACTTTCGAAGGTAAATGTCATCGATTTTCCGTTTTTAGCAACACAATTCAATGGACACATAGGTATGAACAAGGTTCATAAAATTTGAGATAACATCATTATAGAAGGAAGACATATTCGTTGTGATTGGTGATTTATATATAATGGCAATATATAGCATGTGTTAGTTTAGTATGTGTATAGGACTATTTTGTTGCGAAAGGATTAAGATAAATATAATTTGGTTTTATTTTTAACAACGTGGATTAATGGGCCAATGGTATGAATGTGCAATGTAAATTATACAATTTAAGACAACAATATTATAGATAAAAAGGTACGAAGTGTCTTCGTTGCTAACTGATGATTCGTTTATCAATAGTAGTACCTAAAAATAACTAACAGGAAGGAGTTTCGTGTTTGTTGCAAATGCTTACTTTCTCCAAAATCGTTTTTTCTCGTTTTGAACTTGATGCATCGTAATATGTATACAGATGTATGACAAATAACGCCAGAGGTTTAAAGTTCCTCAATTTCTAATAATTATATATATTAGTAATATTAAACTGAAAGATTAGTGACAAGTGAACAAATATCATGGGGCGATATGTAGCAAGCAAGATCGAGACCAAATGGACGTAATGTAGAACGCAACGCTGAGACCAAAATGTCTGTACGTTTGTCTTAAATCTCCTGAATGATAACAAAGTAGACTTTACTACGAATACAGTGAGGTCCCTTGAAAAATCTTTTGCAGTTCATAGAACGATAAGTGAATTAACAAACTTTGCCTCATGCTTTCTGAGGTCGCATGTTAAAGGGTTTTAGTTGTTGTTGTTGTTGTTGCTGTTGTTGGGCTTAACGCCATTTGTCAGCACACGATAGTCTATTCATGGCGGCCAGTATTAATGGCGGAGGAAGAAACCGGGAAATCACCGGAAAGAACCACCGACCCACGACAAGCTACTGGCAAGCTTTCTCACATATCAACATTTGCCGAATCCTAGACTCGAACCAAGGCAGACAGAGGTGTGATGGCAGTGATCCGTAACGGACAGCGCTTTAGACCACTCGGCCACTCGGGGTTTTGGTGAAAATAGATAACATCGAAATGTATTTTAATTTTATTATTTTATTTAAATGAGTGAGACTGTTATGTCACTTACGCCATATAAATCAGTACTATAGGCAAAAGTGCATAACGTGATACATTCATGCAAATGAAAGGTGATTGTTTCAGGTTTTAATCTTTTATCTCAGAATGCATCATCTTTGATGACGCAAAACTAAAACACTAAATAATTTGACCAGAGACCTGGACCTTGAAGACATGATTCTGATTGGGAACACATTTGAATCGAGAACCACAGCTATGCTAGGATTGGTTTGTCCATATCAACAGCTTCAGTCTTATTGTAAACTTACTTTTAAAATTTAACAAAGAGCTGAGTTTAAACTTTGACCTTCAATATATGATCCTGGTTTGCAACTATCCGCTCCCTCACGTTCATCTTCAGCAATAATGAGTGTTTGTTCCAGTTCCATTGATGTTTCATCACTGAATAAATTGTCAAAATTTCACAGGATGAGGACGGGTAGACAAAATAATGTCCCAAATTTTCCTTGAAATGTCGTGTGACAATTTGGTTTTGTGGTACCAGCATTATACAACTGTATTTTTCAGCAACACATATAATTTGCGGGTAATTACTATTAATTTTTAATCAATATTATGGCAGTAAATTATAATACAGAAAACTACCAATCTGGGCTTTATTTTTTAAGTTTATTGGTTCTTTAGTGAAACCCGTTTTAACGAGTTAGTTGTAATGTGCATAGCTTCCTACATCTCTTATTTATTGAATGGTGCAAATGTATGCAAATATATACAAATGTATGCAAATGTATGCAAATGTATGCAAATGAATACAAATTGCTTTGCAACACACTCATGAGGATGATAAAAACCTATCAATAAAAGTTGATTTCAAAATGTTTATGAACATCTTGAAGTTATCGTAAATCAAAAAAAGTCTTAACATAATGACAAAAGTTAAAACAAACGATGAAACTAATATATTCAAACAGTTTGTAGACATTGTTTTCACAGCCCTCCGTTTAACATCATATCAGAATGAGGACGAACATATGTGTATCCCTCGTTGCTGCATTTCTTTCAATAACTGGATAAAAATAGAAGAAAAAAATATGTTTCCTAAGGCTTCACTTTCTTCGTGCTCTTACCATATATAAGAACGTCATTTGATAGTTATCAAAGAGGAAGTCAATAAGCGGACGATGGCATTCTTGTCGGATATAAGAATAGGCACTTCAAAAGTTTCTAACCACAGTAAACAGATTTGGTCTATGTGAATAGTTCTTTGATTGCACACAAAACCGGGATGATACTGTCTTTGGCAATCTGGGCTACAAATTTTTTTAGTCTTTCGATTTACATTCCTCTTTTATTATCTACCACATGTTCCAATATTGGTGAATGGGCTTCTTGGCACAACTGGTATTCATGTTCTGTTACATGTGGAGGAGGAACAAGAATGAGATCGGCTGGACTCTGTTGCCCGTTAGATGCTCAGGGCCAGTGGACAGACTGCACTGCACAGTATAATAAACCTAGCTGTGGTCTCAACTATGAATACGCTAATTACGGGAAAACGTGTGTCCATGGAATTATGTTACAGGTTCCGGATGTAAGTGTTCTCCTGGCTATACCGATTCATGCTGCAACACAGATACAAACAGTAATTTTTATATCATATTAGTCCAATTTTACAATTCTTTTCTAATGTTGTATATCTAGCAAAAGAAACAAAACAACTACTTTTCCACATCATACTTTCACTGGATTTTCACAAATTCATTGATTACATGCTTTGTGTTATCATTCCCTCGGACTTATTTAGAGTCGAAAGTGCTCAACCTAGTAACAAAAATAGTTTTCCATTGCTCGTCATCAATCTTTTTGCAACTATCTTAATCACTCCCTGGCATACATTCACTAATCTCTTACTGGATTCAGTAAAACTTGAAAACTTGATTATATTGGTTCAGGCAATGTGGGTATGTGAGAATGTTTGCCAGTTGCTTCTCGTGGGTCATGGGTTCTTTCCGTGGCTTTCCGGGGTTCTTCCTCCACCATAAATACTGGCAGCCATGTATAGCCTATCTTGTGCTGAAAATGGCGTTAAACAAGAACAACTATATATATATATATATATATATATATATATATATATATATATATATATATATATATATATATATATATATATATATATAGTGAAAGAGAGTAAAGAGAGTCTGTTTCTGTGTGTGAATGTCTGTGTGAATCTAGAAAATCATCGATATTCTGAGTTTACCTTCACATGCTAATCATACATGCATGAAACATATTATGTTTATTTAATTTTTATCGTTTGTTATTTTTGGCCACGAGTGTTTGTGATGTATGTAATTGTATTTTTCATGCAAGCTTTTTTAAGTTTTTCAGGCT